AAAATATTGCATTATATCTCGTTCATTTTCAAATCTACGGTATAAATAAATAAGGTCAGACTTGAAGAAAATAAAATTTCCTACAACTTTGGTTTGATTTGATGGGAATTTTCGTTTGATTTAAAATATTCATATTGAATTTAAAATACATATATTTTACTGCCTGCCGTTAAAAATTTCTCGAACAAAGATTTTCTTTGTCAATGTTATTGTGGCTTATTAACATTTTATTTTTAATATTTTTATTGAGCTTTGTACCACGATTGTCTATTAGGAAAAATTGAAAATGCAACAAAGTCTAAGCGGTAGAAGTTATAGCAGCTATTTCGGAGATAACCACATCTCCTCATCACACTTATTTTTTCTACACTTCAGCAGGGAACGAACCTGCGTAATCGATGTTCAAAGTCAGAAGCGTTANACTCCTCATCAGACTTATTTTTTCTACACTTCAGCAGGGAACGAACCTGCGTAATCGATGTTCAAAGTCAGAAGCGTTAACCACTGAGCTATGTACATTCCGTAAATACTTGTTGCTAATTCATTTTCCTTATTTAACGAACTTCTATCAAGTGCAGCTGATTTGTCGCTATTTAAACTCGACTCGTTGTTGTTGTCAATGTTATACATTTTTCCTAGTAAACAATCGTGGTACAAAGCTCAATAAAAATATTAAAAATAAAAAGATTTTCTTTGTCAAAGCATTATTCGGCATATAATTCAGATTTGCTTGCGTCAACATTGTCGGATCTTCATTTAGTTTTAAACGAATATTACAAAAAGGCAAGCGAATACAAAAAATAATAATAGCAGCTTGCCTTACTTATCCGTTCGGCCCAGCGCCTCCAGCTTTTTCCAATCACACCGGTGATCCATATACAACAGACAAGGCAGTACTTGGTAAACTGTTAAAATCAAAAGTTGACTCTGTACCACCTGTGGTAGTGGACATTGATACCATCGATTGTTTCTTACACACGATCGGTGCATCCTTGCCACAAAGTTTTGGTAAAGTCACGGAAACCATTCTCTCCAAAATTTGCAACACAAGGGCTTCGGAAATTCACTTGATATTTGACAGGTACTTTTCTCCCTCTATCAAAAATTGTACGCGCAAAAAACCTCATGCGGAAGATATTCCATAAATTCCCAGAGATGAAAGTGTGGATGTTCGATAAATCGATTGCTCGAAATTGGCCACAGCATTAGGACCGGACTTATGTCGAGCGTTGCCCGGTTTCCACGCCTTCACTGGGTGCGATTATACCGCCACGTTTTTCCGTAAAGGAAAAGTGCGACCATATGAAATCTTGGAAAAAAATCAACAATTGCAAACGGGTTTCGCGTCTCTGAACGAAAGCATGGATTAGGAGGACGAGATTGTGATCCATACATTGCAAGAGTTAACGTCGCAGATGTACTCGATTAAAAATTGCAAGCGCGTGGACACAGCGAGATTAGAGATTTTTCAAAAATTGTACTCTGGGAACAAGTGAGAGGCTTTGACTCTAACCTTATCTCGCCGTGCTATCGTTCATTGAAACAAAAAATTCTACGCTCGATATACGTCACCAGCTTGTGGGTGAATGCAACTACACCAGAATGTGTGATGGTTAGAGTTGGGACTTTTAGTTCATTGCGATGATCGATCAACCTAGTACAAATCACTCAAGTGAACTAGTTCATTTAGTTCATTCTCATTCACTTTAGTTCACAACTTAAAATCGTGAATCCGAGAAATAAAACACTACTAATTTTAAATAAAAAAAATAGTGTTTTATTTTGAATAATATTCAAAGATAACATAAATATTAGCTTTTTTATAAGCAATTCACTTGAGATCCTACATATACTATCTCGATGCTGAGTGAAAGATCTATCCTCCTATCTCAGGAAACTTTTCAAGAACGCCCTATTTCAGAAATTTATTTAGAAACACCCTACCTCAGAAGTCGGTTCAAAAACGCCCCATCTCAGCTGGAAATACATTGAAAATGTGCTGAGATAAAAAATAATTAAAATTTGTACTCATATCTTTTAAAAGCTATTTAATTTCAGTATAATAATGTGCACGTTTGAAGTGACTAAAATTCACCCCTGATTTTTTAATTTTTTTTGCTTCCCTTAATACATACATATATGTACATAAATTAATTTATGTAAAATTTAAGCAATAAGACAGCCTGGAGCGAATAGTTCATTCTAATTTCGAACTTGAACATTGAACGAACTAGTTCGTGAACTTCCCAACTCTAGTGATGGTTCGTTAGGAGGATTAAGGCGCTGGCTCAATGCGGGTTTGCTTTGCACGCCTTACTTTAATTTGCTTTGATTCAAAAACGCGTCTGGCCAAAGGGCGGCTTGGAACGCTGTCAAAGCTACCAGCTGTGTAGTTAAAAAATTAAGGTCTGTTACCTTACACTAAGAATAATTTTCCCACAAAATTCCAGAAAAACTAAAAAAAAAATACAAGCAATCTTTTCAGATTTATTTTTAAAATTGATGCGAATTTTTTTTTTTGCATTTCAAAGGAATGATAATAATTATACATATATAGCTATAGGTACATTTATTAAAAACAAAAAATTCCAATTTTTCAGGAGACGACTGACCAGTAGTTTGACATCATAAATATCGCTAGCTTTGTGTGAAAAGTTGCTAAGTCCACAATTTGTGAAACCTCATGATATAGGAAGCAAGAGAAATTAAGGATTAAGGTACTTATTTTATTTTTGCTCATTTATATTCAATGGAAGGCAAATTTTCAGAAGAAGAGGCCCCGAAAATCCGATTGCTTTGCTTTAAACACGCAAAATATTGTGTTCAAAGTTCCTGTAAAATTTGTAAAAATGGACTTAGCAACTTTTCAGTGAGCGATATGTTAAATGTAAATATGGAAACATATAATCACTTTTATTAAACTTTGAATAGCTTATATACATATATTTTTTTAATTACGTAAGCAATTTTTGTCATAGAAGGGTCACAGCAGTGTTTGAATTATTTAGAACGGGAACATATCTTTTTGTCAAAAGCCTACGAAACGCTTTCAAATAAAACATTTGCCTATTTGAAACTTTGAGGCGCTTAAAGCAAGTGAAGCAGAGCTGCCATTTGGCCACCCTTCATACGTTTTAGTATATTCCAAATAACGTTTGACAGTTTTCAAAGCTAAGCAAGCAAAGCAAGCCTGCATTGGGCCAGCGCCTTAAAGGTTGGGAGATGCGCGACGACAAGATGCAGCCCTTCTGGTACACTGGCAAGCCAACGCCCCTTTTCGTCGAAGACATATTGGCGTTGTCAGTCGAATACGAAAATAATGGTGACGACCAATACGACATTCTCACGTTCGAGTCAGATGACGAAAACTAGGCCTAAGAGTAATTGATAAGAAGACAAACATGATTCTAAGAAAAAGAATTTAAGTTCACTATGTACATCGTATATATGATCATCGAAATAAAACAAAATTTTAATTACCAAAATATTTGAATAACCAATCTTCTTTCTGTATTGCCCTCATCCAAATTTCGATAACATTCCGTCTTATGTTCTATTGAGTTATTACCATCGCATTATTTGTCCCTTGTTGTTTAGGGACCAAAGTTGTAGGAAATTTGATTTTCTTCAAGTATGACCTTATTTATTTATGTCGTAGGTTTGAAAATGAACGATATATACAGCTGGGCTCCCGTTTCCGAATTCGCAAAAATTTTTGAATTTCAGTTTTCAAATCGCATAATTGCGCGCTCTCACAATCGTATGTCGCAAAATTTTCGCGGTTTCAAATCGGAAACTTTAGACTTAGTGGAATGAAAAGTAAATGACGTCGCACGCTTAAATAACCGATTTATAAAAGCTTGGACAATTTTTATTTATTAATAGAAATTCTTAAGATACATTTCGCGTACTTAAAAATAAATATTAGATTTAATTTATTGTTTAATTCATTATTACGGACAACACCTCAAATTTTTCCGCAGAAAAATTGTCGAAACAACAACTGCTTGCGATTTAATTTAGTTCGATAAATCGATTAACTTTGCCAAATAATCGGTATGTAATTAAGGGTTGCCTTAGTAAATCAAGGAACGAAAAGCAAGTCTTGAAACACTTTTGGAATTAATTATCCCTCATTTTACATATACATTAAGGTAGTAATAAATAATAATTAAATAGAAATAATGATTTACAGCGGAAAAACCCAAATAAACAATTAAAATATGAATGTGTATTTTGAGACTGAAACATTTTGATACATTGGCAACTCTATCACCAGCAATCATCTGTTTCCAGGACGCCATTATTTTTATTTGTTGAGACCCCGCGAACATATTCTGAGCGCTCAGAATATATGAGTCGGAAAGGAGTCCTAGGTAAGTAAGAAATATGAGTTTCAAAAACAAACATTTTTTTACTCTTATATGAATCTTTTAGGAGTCATATATGATCCAAGTTATGAGCCAGCACTTTGTGCCAGTATAAAAACAATAACGACTAGAAATTTATATCTAAACTTGTTTATACATATATGAAAAATAATTAGGAAGGAAAAATAAACAAAATTTAGCTGCAGCAACTGCTATTACATGAATGCTGCAATATATGAAAATATGTATATATGTATGCGCAGAGGTTTGTATATAAATATGCAACAGTATTTGAAATGAATTCCTTGCTAACATGGCTCTAAAGTAAGTTCATTAAGAGAGTTGAAGAATAAAGCCAATAAGAGCCACAGAACAGCATACAAGGAGCTCCGAAAGTAGGCATTTATGAGACCAATAAGAGTCATTTAAGAGCTTCAAAAATAGTCCAAAATGAGTCGTATATGAGGCCAATAAGAGTCCAATATGACATATGACATCATATAGGACGACATTCGCAGGAAGGGAAACACCCTCATTTCGGACTCTTAAATGAGCACAAAGGCTCCGAAATGGGACTCCTTAAAGACTCATTTATGACTCCAAATGTTTGCTGGGGAGGCGTTCTTGGAAGAAAAAATATTTCTAATCAAAATGTAAGTATAATAAATTACAACAAATTTATTTGTGTGTATGAAAATTAAACTAATATATTTGTCCTTAAGGAAAAAACACAAAACCCAAAAGCAAGATGAGGTGATGGTGGAGTTCATGAGAAGTAATCCGGAGGATTTGTTAAAGGTGACCGAACTGCAGCTGAGGCGAAGTGGTCGCAGCTGACTAATGACTTAAATGCTATTGGCCCTCCTTGCAAGGACGTTAACGGCTGGAAAAAGGTATAGCTATTATTTATAGATTTGTTTGAGTTGTTAAATTTGTGTAAATCGTAGGTTTGGTCGGATTGGAAAATAACCATAAGGAGGAAACTTGCGAAAAATAAGCAGGAAACCAAAGCTACCGGCGGCGGCCCATACGCCCAGCTTGTCGTCCTTCCTATAGAGGANTAGGTTTGGTCGGATTGGAAAATAATCATAAGGAGGAAACTTGCGAAAAATAAGCAGGAAACCAAAGCTACCGGCGGCGGCCCATACGCCCAGCTTGTCGTCCTTCCTATAGAGGAGACCATTGCCACCATTTGTGGGCTCTTCGAAATGGTGGACGGTGTAGGCGCATCGACTTTTGGAGTTCCAGTTGCAGAAACCAGCCCATCGGACCCATTTTCCGAGATCTTAAAACGTGAGCCCACAGACATTGAAGCAGAACATTTCCAAACTAGGGCAGAACCTCTTATTGTCGACATTGACGAGGAAGGAGCAGGGGAAATCCGTCCTCGTACGAAATCAGTGCCACTAAAGAGCGTACCAACTGACTTACAAGGTCTATGTGCAGCTCAAATTGAGACTCTTAAAAAAGTGGTTGAAGCCTTGGGGCCCAACAGGCAGATTATTGCAGACGCATTGGAGAAATAAAGAGGGAAGAGCTTGAGGTAACTAAGTCGATAGCCGAGGCCGTTTCCAAAATAGCGGCGATTTATATTTAATACATTTTCTTTTATCTAACTTTTTTTAATTCCTTAACAAATTTGAATATTTTCGCTTGCTTGTTTGGAAAGTAATCAACTTTAGAGGTGATTAGTAGCTAGGGATGAAACGATACCATAGAAGTATCGATACCTGTACTTGGAAGTAGCATCGAAAGAAAGTATCGATACCTACAAAGTATCGGGCTAAAAGTACTTATATCGATATTTGTACCTATATAAGAATTGAAATATGCTTATGTTTGTTTGTATTAAAAAACGCTATCACATATGTACCAAATTAACTTATGTGACTATCATTATTGATTTTAGATTAATCTTTTCGGTTTTTTTAAGAAACTTTCCAACTTTTAAAACAAGTTTTACTATGATGGACCCTCAAGAAACAAGATAAAGTATAAAGTCCAATAAATTGTTTTTAAAAAGTATACAGAATTCGCTTCTTTTTATGTACGTATTTTATTTGTTTGTATTTATTTCGTACAAATTAATTAACTCATAAAAAATATCTGTATTTCAACGCATTTTTGTTCAACAGCATTTTTTTGNAGTTTGTATTAAAAAACGCTATCACATATGTACCAAATTAACTTATGTGACTATCATTATTGATTTTAGATTAATCTTTTCGGTTTTTTTTAGAAACTTTCCAACTTTTAAAACAAGTTTTACTAGGATGGACCCTCAAGAAACAAGATAAAGTATAAAGTCCAATAAATTGTTTTTAAAAAGTATACAGAATTCGCTTCTTTTTATGTACGTTTTTTATTTGTTTGTATTTATTTCGTACAAATTAATGAACTAATAAAAAATATCTGTATTTCAACGCATTTTTGTTCAACAGCATTTTTTTGCAGAATAACAGTGCTATATTTCTGGAAGAAGTTATCATGTTTATCATTTTTAATGAGACGATAATAGGTCTTTCTTTGTGCAAAGCAACCTTTTCTTCTACATCAAAGCTCTATGTGGCTGTTCTAGAATTTGCGCTTTTGGCATTTTGTCTGATGGCCTTGAAATACAAAAAGCAAGAAATTTAGACGCAAATCAACTTCTTTCGGAAATAAACCATAATCATTCTGATAAAAATTAAGAGTACATATATACTAATTTGTAAAATTGTTTAAATAATACGTTAGGTACTATAAGCCATTAATTGAAAAACTCGGATTTTGTCGCGCTGCCCAAAAACAATAATTTGTCCAGATGCTTTCCAGTAAGTCGAATTCTTGATGTGGTTATTGTGGCCCCAGCTTTTGAAAATAATCTCTCGCATGGTACGGAAGTCGCAACTATATGTAGATACATGCTGATTTTAAAGAGCAGACGGGGTTTGATAAATAAAGCTACAACTCATCACCTTTTGTAGAGCGTTTTCGTTTTTGTCCAATCGCAAGCTTTTTATGTTGGTACCAAAAGTCACGTCTTCTTCGGAGCTGGTGTTAGCGTATACTTGAATAAGACTTTTTAGTTTAAAAATTGCCCGACCGCAAGCGATCGCATCTTCAAAATTAAGATTCTTGAAGCGATGATCGAGGATAGTTCCTAAAGCTGCGTATGTGTTGCATTCAATGAGACCAAATCTTTTACTACACTCCGCCAGGAGTTTCGTTTGTAGTTGGGTGACATAATCAAGAGTTGTAGAAAATTTTCTCACTTGAGATGTTAAGCAGTTAACCATAGGTATGATCTTGGAAAGTGTGACATAATTCTGTCCTGAAGATTGTTTGGTTACGAGCTCGAAAGGCTTCAGTAGCTGAACTATTTACTTCAGTATTTCTATTTCATTTTTGCTATCATTTCAGGACTGTCTGTGGCATCAAGTATAAGTTGAGACNCCCTGAAGATTGTTTGGTTACGAGCTCGAAAGGATTCGCTACGAAAGAAATAGAACGTGCGCCCTTTTTCGTAGAATTGTCAAAATTGGCGTCACCCCGACGTTGGCGCCTTCTTGCGGTAACTAAGCTGCAAAAATTTGTTTAACTATTCATAAAGAAATTGGATTAAAAAATAAAAGTCCGGGNTCTCACTTGAGATGTTAAGCAGTTAACCATAGGTATGATCTTGGAAAGTGTGACATAATTCTGTCCTGAAGATTGTTTGGTTACGAGCTCGAAAGGCTTCAGTAGCTGAACTATTTACTTCAGTATTTCTATTTCATTTTTGCTATCATTTCAGGACTGTCTGTGGCATCAAGTATAAGTTGAGACGAAATTTTGGACATATCCAAAAATCTTTCATTCGCTACGAAAGAAATAGAACGTGCGCCCTTTTTCGTAGAGTTGTCAAAATTGGCGTCACCCCGACGTTGGCGCCTTCTTGCGGTAACTAAGCTGCAAAAATTTGTTTAACTATTCATAAAGAAATTGGATTAAAAAATAAAAGTCCGGTAATAAAATTGTCAATGAATTAGGGTTTCGATACAAGTACTTTTTTCCGATACCTACTCAGTACTCGGTTCAAAAATATCGAGTACAAAATTACTTGGTATCGGACGAAANATTCGCTACGAAAGAAATAGAACGTGCGCCCTTTTTCGTAGAGTTGTCAAAATTGGCGTCACCCCGACGTTGGCGCCTTCTTGCGGTAACTAAGCTGCAAAAATTTGTTTAACTATTCATAAAGAAATTGGATTAAAAAATAAAAGTCCGGGAATAAAATTGTCAATGAATTAGGGTTTCGATACAAGTACTTTTTTCCGATACCTACTCAGTACTCGGTTCAAAAATATCGAGTACAAAATTACTTGGTATCGGACGAAAAGTATCGAGTATGTACTTGTATTTACTAGTATCGTTTCATCCCTATTAGTAGCCTGTCGAATCGCTAAAAATAACTTAATGTAAATGATGCCTTAATACAGTAGGAGGTCAATCAGTTACGACCGAGTACAAAATACTGTATGAAACCAAATTGGCAAAATTTTGGTTAGTTATAAAAATATTGTCCCTCATATAACTAATTTCATATCAATCGAATTTTCCAACCTCATGCACATATTTTACATATTATTTATTCATTTGTACTGGTTTAAAACAGAAAAGTACTTAAAAACACATATGTATGTTAAATATAAATTTCTAAGTGCCTTACTTATATAAGAGAATTTTACAAATAGCAATAAATATACACCAAGTGTCAAAATTATAAGCGCACCAGGCCCTATATCGAGACACCCTTTAAAAATTTGTCAGCTAATTCTTTGATATTCACTCTATCACATATATTTTTTGCAGATTTTTAAAAACCTGCAAACAAGTGATTTTATCTGTACAGTACTGATTTTTCAACTCTTGTACTGATTTTATTCATTTCTTCAATCAATACGCTAATGTCCTGATTTTCCAAAATTTGTACTGATTTCTACTGAATTTTCTATTCAAACAAAATACTTAAGAATTTTCCTAAGGTTTTTACATAACGTTGGAACTTCCTTAAACTGTACTGTAAAAAATAAGAATTATTAATTATAGTTGACATGTTTTAGATAATCAGCCTCATTGCGTAAGTCGTAAATTAGGCTGAATTGTACGACTCGACAACATTAGCATTGTCTACTGTCGTGCTGAAATAAGTAAACGACGAAAATTGTCGAAAACTATGCAGTGCTGCCAAGTTCTTCCGTTTTAATACACTAGTCGAGTGGAAATTTTAGGCAATGACGCTAAATTTTCGATACGATTCGACTCTCGAAAAACGACTTGCATTCGGCACGACTCTCGCAATGAGGCTGAATATTTGATATGCCCAAGAAATTAATACAACAAAAAGATCAATCGTTTTATGGGCATATCACCGGGTCGTACGTACCAGTTGCGATAATATGATGGAGCTTAATCATTTACAAATAAGGCTTAAATTTTTGTCGAGTGTTGTTAGTTACCTCGAAAATAACTTTCAGTTTAGTAACAATAAATTTCAATATTGGAATGACTTTTGCCTATAACTTAAAACTCCTTTTTCTCAATTTACTGACATTGTAAAAAAGTTTTGCATACAAGACATAGAGTAATGGGCTGTTTTTGCTTATGCGTAAAAGCACATTTAGCGCATTTAGCTCTAAATGCTACTCTAAATGTACATTTATCCATACAAAATTCGTCACCTAAATTCAACTAAACGCAACTCCATTTTTGCATTAAGAATCTAAATACTAAAAGCAACGGTGTGATGTTCCAAGATTTCCACGATTCAAACATGGTGTAATGACAAAAAGTGGCAAGATTGCTTTTTCGCGTATACAGTGGCTAGCTGCGTTTCAGTGATCGCCGATCGGGATTTCATTTATTATATTACATTATTTAAATAAAGAAAAGTTACGCAAATTCAACATCGATGTGATCAACTGAAACTGACAAATGAATATATACACAAATAAACGTTCGGTTACGGTTAAAACAATTCAAGTTTTTGTATTGAATTTTTAGTTTAAACTTTATTTTTTCCTTTTCAGT